AAGCCTTATTTTGTGAAAAGTCATTTCTGAATTCTACAACTGTTCTTTTTGGATATTTATTCATATTAGGATAATCTTTGATCTTTGCAGAGTACCAGTTGCATCTGATAGAAAAAAATTTTTCAGAAGATCAAAATTTAGCTGCCTTTTATTTATTTATGTATTTATCAAATTGATAAATACATAAATAAATAAAAGGCAGCTAAATTTTGGTATAAGTAATGAGTTGCTGGCTCTGTCAATTTCTAATTATGCAAGGGTTGCTCTCGAAAATTTAAAAATATTGCCAACCATTCGTCAGTTTTAAATTTTTTTTCACCACTTAAAATTACTTATTGCCACCAGTTTACTTACTAATTAATGCAGGTGATGATAGCCTTATCAGTTTAGTGTCTGGAAAGCAAAAGTAATACACAGTTGCTCACAAAGAGAGATCCAAACAAAATTTTGTTTGAATTGGAGACATGAATTTAAGGCTATGTGCTTACCAAGTTTAACACAAACAGCTCCTTGTCCAAATAATAAGACCCACTTCTAAAGCATTTCCAAAACATGGTCCTCTGAAAAATTTAGTGTTTAGCTTATAAGTTTTTAAAAGTTTCGTGTCTCTGAGTGGTTACAATAGACACTGTACTTAGATGATGTAGGTTCGAATCTTCAAAATTTTAGTGTAGTTTTTTCGTGTAACGAAATTATTTTATTATTTTACCGTATCATTATTATGTGTTGGGTTTAGTGGGTTATACTCGGTACACACCGGTGGCTGTGTACTATGCCGGACCAGAGTCAAGGCATAGCAACCAAAATAAAATTAAAATTAAATGTGTGTGTCAGTGTCAGTGTCAGTGTCAGTATTAAGGAATTTCCTAACAATATGACATGTATTCAATATAGTGGCCTTCTGTAGTGTGATGTATGTATTTCTACTCAATTGTAATCCCTATCCATCCTCCACCCTATCCATCCTCCACAGATGCCTGATTTCCTGGGCGAGTTCTGTATACTTGCTAATTTTTTCAGTGCATGTGTTTTGTACATTGTGAGTGTTTGGAATGGCTATGTCTATAATGTATGTGATTTTATTGTGTTTG